CCGGAGGGGGCTCGGCGGGGGGCGGCAGCCCCGTCCTGGGCGAGCGGTGAAGAGAAACGCCGAGGTTCTTTGTTGTGTAACTCTTTTTTTTTTTTTTTTTTTTCCTAAGGATTAGAGAGGGTTTGCGGCTTTTTTTGCTGATTCAGGTGGTTTTGTTGTGTTGGTGGTGTGTCGGGTTTTTTTTTGTTTTTTGTTTTTTTAAATGCAGGGTAGTCATGGGTAAATTCCTCTGTTGAGTAGGATGTCGGGTGAACTTTCTTGTGACTTTTGAATTCATCGTTGGCCGCTTCTCGTGTCTGGGGAGCGGCGGTGCCCATCTGCCGCGCTCCGTCCCCGCGGCTCGGAGCGCTTTCCAGAAGCACTCTAGATAACGTGAGGACGCATTAAAAAAAAAAAAAATACTAACTTACTGTAATTAAGCCACTTCTCGCTAAAATGCGTCTGGCTAGCAGCCCGTGGTTTCATCTGCGAGTCCTATTGCCAGGTTTTGTTTTTTTTCAATAAACGTAATTGCATTCAAGAGAGTTTGGGTTGAACGCTTTGCTGGGACAAGCAGACGCGAAGCTGTTGGAATAGCTCCTGTCTCTTTTGCTAGCGATTTTTTTTCTGGCCGTATATTGGGCTGTTTGTAGTTTCTCTTGGATTTTTCTCCCCAGCTACCTCTTAAATTCTTCTCACAAAAGTCTTAACTAATTTGATTTGGAAATGATGAAGGAATGCCTTACATCAGTGTGCTCTAGTGATCCATTCTTTCTTTCTGAAAAGAAGGGATTTTAACACTTGATATACTTTTTAACTTGTTTTTTAAAACCAGTCCCCATTCAGAATGACCTATAAGCAAGGTAGCCCACTTAGCACTCTGGGGGACTGGGGAACGCTTTTCTGCCTTTAGCTGGTATGTGTCAATGTTTGGTTCTCAGCAGCAGCACAGGAAGTCTCACCACCCTGAGGAAGAGTCATAAAGTGTGTTGAAGATTTGTTGCTAAAACTGGACTGAGAATGTGCTAATTCTGTGTTGTCTTTGGAAGAAATTATAGGTCATTTCTGACAAAAATATACATAGCTTTTCAGGGCCCCGTTTTTCCTTCAGAAAAAAAAGTCATCAAGGAATTGTGAATGATTTCCTATAGAATTGTTAGCATGGTATCACACACAGAATAATTGTCAGAGAAGATTGATAATGGCTTCCTACATTTGACAGATGGTTTTAAAAATTTCTTTTTCAGGTTTGAGTTGATCTTACTAACTGCAGCTATGGTGCAGAAGTACCAATCGCCCGTACGGGTGTATAAACACCCTTTTGAGTTAATTATGGCTGTAAGTATTAATTTTCTGTAATTTTTGCTTCCTTGACAGTTCCTTGTATTGCTAAGTACTTACTGAGCTCTGTTTGATAGGTACTGTAGAACATATTTTGTGTATCATTTCAGATTTATGAGGTATGTGTTTTCATGGTTTCTTCTCTATCCAGAGTATTCTTTTTACATAATGTGTTTTCTTTTTCTCCCAAAGTTTGTAGTTCATGGATTTATTTTAAAGTTAGAGCAAAAGTGGGTTTGAAGCGTATTTCCCAGGTGATTACTGGGAGCTATCTATTTTGGCATGGGAGAAAGTGTCAAGTGTGTTGATTAAAAGATTGTTGCGGTTGTGTCTTCATCAGTATGGAGTTTACAGGACTAGAGAGCACAGAGGAAAGCCATGAAAGCAAGGATAAGCCTGAAAGAAAGAGGAGAAAGCATTCTGAGCATTGGTAATACTTTGGGGGGAGGAAAAAACCTGATTGCTACAGAGGCCAGAGAGAGGAAAAAGAAAAGCCTTTTGGGTGCATGGTTGGTAATTTGTGTGCTAATGTTACAAATAGTAACCAAAAAAAAGAAGAAAATCCTAATTAGGTTCCCTCTTCTTTCTCTCTCTCCCCTCCCTCCCTTTTTTCTTTTAGAAAATGGAAAGGAAGTAGGTGTTTGACATTTTTAAGTATATTCAGCCAAAACCACAGCTGTGTGGCTCTCATGAGTTACGAAGAGCAGTTGAGGAGAGCAGTCAGGTCAGCTTCTACCTGATAAGAACAGTTAAAACTAAATAATAATCTAACTATAATTGTTTCATCTCGCTGAAAATACTGTTTTTAATGGCTTCAGAGGAGAGTTTTAATAGTGTTCATAGTGTAAATATTTAGATAGATCACATGGTTTGGAGTGCAGAGTTCCTTACGGAAGTGATCCTTTGCAGTCACAGGGCAAAAAAGAATTAGATCACTCTAAGGGGAATACTTCAAGTTCTTTTTATCTTATTTCAGAAACTGCCTCCAGTAGGTCTTGCTCTTAAAAAGGCTTCACGGCAAAGAGTGGTTATTTTCATGAATGGTGGACAATCTGACTGTGATGTGTTGAAGGTCTTTTAGGGACCTTACTATGCTCTGACAGTTAGGCTTCAGATGGTTTCTAATTTAAATTTGATTGTGTATATAACTTTGGCCTTCAGTGAATTATGTGGGTTCTTAGGTCAATCAACAAAAATTAGTTTCTTGGACAAAATTCTTTGGCTGTGTGTTGAACTGATGAGTCTTTTCCTTGCTGTTGAATTGAAGGAAAAAATTATTATTTTAAGTTATTTCTTCAACGATATTTTGAGTTAAAATGCTGACATCAGGATTTTTCACAATGCTTTATTGGTTATAAATAGAAACACTTCTGACTATTAATATTAACTTTGAGTTCTCAAACTGTTCTGTGGCTTGGGGTAAGGTTTGAAGAATAATCTTTAACAAATATGAAGCCTTTCCTTAGATGAATGCTTTTTTCTCCTTTGGAAAGAAAGAGGCTACACTACGTATGCAACTAGAAGAAAACAATAGTTGAAAAACTAAAACAGTGAACTAAGAGGTGAAGAATGTTTATAAAAAGAAACAGGCAGCTGAACAGGATGCTTTCTGAGACTAGAGGTTTAGATTAGCGATAATGCGTATGATTTATTTCATCTATGTCAGGGCAATGAGTTATCACTTGAACTTGTTCAGAATGTGATCACTGAATGAACATCCTTCTCCTGCCATGTTGCTTCTGTTATGTTATTGGGTTTTAAAACATGTAAAATTCCTGGTGGTGATTTATCAAAACTGATCATGCATTTTCTGAAGTACGTAGAGGAGTGCCTGCATAAGCCAAATTCTTTAAAGAATATAAACAGTATATGATAGTTTCACACCTTTTCTTACTGTTTTCCCTCGGTTGAATTGCATAAGTTGATGAAATATTTCTGGAAGGAATTTTCCTGTCAAATTTTGTGCTCTTAAAGTGGAAGTACTACATATTCTCAACAAAAAAGTGCTATAATGTTATTTTAACTGTATCGGCAGCCCTTCTGAAATGAGGAACACGTCCTGCTATGTACCAAGCTTGAATTTAAGGCACCAAGCAAATAACTTTAACAATATGGGGTTTATGTTTGATTTTTTTTTTTTCTCTGTCCCTCTCTTTCATATGCACCCAACCTTTGAGAGAATGTGTTCTCAAACAGGGGTTTAAACCCACACACCAGAGATGCTCAGCTGTCAGTAAAAAGCCTCTTGAAGAAACCTTTGGTCAATGTGGCAACCGTGTTCTTTATGCTAAGTTGTCTAACAAAAATCACTGTTTCTAGCGTGGGTCTTGATGCATGGGATCTCATCTGTGTCTTAAGGTGCAGAGTACTTCTAAAAATGTTACTTGGAAAATCATCCTCCATTCCCAGAGAGTTTCATGGAATGAAAGAGGTAATTCATTCTAGAGAGTAGTCATGAAGCCGACATGGACTGTAAAGATTTCCCGGATGATATGTGTTCCAACTACAAATTGGAGCTCATTAAGTCAAATTAATACTTAGCTTTCAGATAGAGAAATCAGTATAAAATTCTTCTCTTCTACATGCAACCGAATGAATGCCACTTGCAGAATGGGTCGTTTACACTACAAACTTCCTATTTGCCCACTTTTCCTTTCCTGGGTTTGAAAGAGGTACTTGAGGGAGAATAAAGTACAATCAGCATTCCATTCATGCTGCTCTAGTGTACTTTGAGAGAACTTTGTTCTCTCTGTGAAGGGTGAGTGCAGCTATATTAAGACAAAAAAATGGATTTAATTCCACTTTGATCTAAACCAAGATTTACAATTGTTTTGCAGACAATTATGATATAAAGACTTTTAAAATAGATGCAGTGAAAATTCTTTTTCTAAGTTGAATTGGTGTTGAAAATAAGTTTCTTGCACTCCTCCACTGAAATCCAAAAGTCATCTGTTGAGCCGTCATGTATCTCTGTGACCATATACTTTAAGGCACAGCCACTTTTCTCTCAAGTCTGTGAGAGAACTGGTGAAGTACTGTTGTTGGTAGAGAGTTGGGAGATCCATTGCTGCATACTTCTTGCCTTCCTTTATCATTTAAGGCAAGCTATGTAAAATCTAATACAAACTACTTGCCTTGAAGATTCCCTTTTACTGTCAAACTGTGGTTCCAGATAATATCTAAGTTCCTTTGAAAGCAGTAAGAACTGCATGCAAATCTTTTAATGAAACTATTTCCTGAACTTGAAAAGATTCAAGAATGATAGGCTAGAAATTATCACGTTTTAGTCTGACACACCTAATACAGGCAATATGACTTTACCAAATGGTACCAATGCTGACATGATGACTTTTGGCTGCTTTGTGGCGTATCTGTCATAATCAACTTCTTGAAAGCTCTGTGTGTATGTATAGATACATATTTAAAAAAAAAAATCAAACAAACAACCTGCACAGCTGTTCATCACGATGAATAGAATCTTGCCTTGTTTTTCCTCCTGTTCATGTTGAAGTTTACGTAATGCTGGAAGCAGCTGAAATGTGGAAAAATGACTGTTTACTTAGACTCACTTGTCAACTTACCAAGGTTAAATGTATTGGAGAAAAAACTGAGAGGCTGCTTTTATAGAACTTTTAAAGATTATAGATTCAATTTTTGATATTAGCTTAGAGAGGTTTACATTTAAAGTAATATAGGGACTTGCTGAATAAGTAGTTCTTACTGCTAAAAGGCAGTTAAGAACTTGAAGCTTTCTTAACACACATGAGGCTAAAATTAACTTTGGAGATTCACAGCTCATTTTCAGTCTGACATGCATTAGATAATTCCCCTTGAGTTTAATTTCCAAAGCAAATTTAAATAATGAATAATCAGCTACTATGGCATTCCAAGGGTGGAATTTATGCAAATAGAAAATAAGTAAGATTTTTGAAAGAACCACATTGAATTGAACCATTGACCAGAGGGGTTTTTATTTTTTTTTTTAGTTTCTGGAAGCTCTGTGGAAAATGTATTGCTCTTCAGCCCATTTAAAAAATGTCTGATTTACAGCCACAAATTACTTAGTATCAGAAATAAATATGAATAGTAACGTGACTGAACACAGCAAGTGTGCTCTAGACCTATCCTGTTATGTTCAGTCAAATTAATGTAGATTTTAAGAACGTGTGGCTTTATGAAAACTAAGATTTTCAAATCTGCCTGTGACAAGAGACAGACATTCAAAGGTATTTTGTAGTCTTTTGAATATCTAACATGATATTTCCACTTTGTTAAAGTTCCTGGCATTTGTCACCTTCCACTGATGCCAAACAAGTAAGAGAAGTCTGTTGGTTAACTAGTCATCAATGTCAGGAGCTTATGGTTGTGGAAAAAACGCATTTGATTTTTATTTTAAGATCAAAATAGCAATTAATTTTGCACTGCCCTGAGGCTAAAAACTACTTCCTTTCAAGCTACATGTTCTCATCAGGATCCTTTAAAAAAAAAAAAATTGTTCTCACGTTTTTCCATTGTTCTGGTAGAAAGATTCATGCTTTAGATATTCTGTCTTAATAAGTATAATCTATAGTGCCCTTCTGATTATATTGTAATTTTAATGGTTCGAATTTGCTGCTTTTGGAGAACAGGCTGACTGGCTTGCTTTGGTTTTAGAGAACTGAAAAAAACGATGTTTAAGGTAAATCTCCATGATTTAAAGTATATCTAAATTACAGGAAAGTAATAAGATTGTAGATGCCGTAAATACGCTTCAATGATAGAGTAGATTAGAAAAAAATTATCTTTTGGGTTTTTTTTCAGATTGACAAATCAAAGTATAATCCCTTGATCTAGATTGTAATGAGTTTCCTGGTCAGGCAGTACATCATCTTTTCATTTTAAAGGTTATTACTTTAAAGTGACATTACAAAAAAATTACTATGTATCAAGTTAAGTGTGACACCTGCTTATAAATCCCTACAATTTTTATTCCTTCTAGTCTCATTTTCTTTTTCTTG